AACACCTCATTTCAACGCAGCTTTACAGAAAATCATAATGTTTGTAATATCTTAATGCCTTATAGTTGCATTTAGCTAGACTATATTGTAACTGGGCGATAATATAATCACATTTAGTTACAAGTTATAATAATATAGTCACAAATTACAGTTACTTCGACACTATTTTCCTGTTTAATACTGTAAAGCTGCTTTGACACAATCTGTATTGTAAAAAGCACTAATTAAATAACGGTGACTTGTATTGTGCAAGCAGTAGAGATTTGCAATATATGATATATCGCCCTACACGAGTATACTTTAAGTGTGCGGATACAATGCTGGGTAGATTACATACAAATTGTAGTCTGTTACTGATTGCAGATTACATGAAGAATACTAGTTAGTAACGTAACCTAGGCTATTTATTTTAGGTAATGTATTCGGACTACTTTTTTCAGATTACTTTTTTACCTAACTTGTTTTAAACTTACCATTCATAATCAATGATACATTTCATATTTATTTGTTTCATAAAGAGTGTTTCCCCCCCAACTTTAGAAGCACGGATTGCAAAGATCAAAAAAATTGCAAAAAAATTTATATGACGTTTACATGACCATTCCATATTGTAAATAAATGGTATGACAGACAGTCGGATTTTTAAAAAGGAAACTTCAAACAAGAAAAAAAGAATTAGAATGAATTATAAATTAACTGCTATTGTGTGAATAATATGTAATCACGTAATCCATAAAAAAGTAACTGTAATCTGATTATGAGCATTTTAAGTACTTAATTTTTGGAATCTGATTACGTAATCCAGATTACATGTAAACAGTTACTGGATAGATAGATAGCAGATAATGACTTTAATAACTCTGCTCCCAAATACTAGAATATGTAACTTACTGTACCTTCTGATCAATCTGCAAAAAAGTACTATATAAAAAAATGGATATATCACGGGGCGATAATATAGTTTGTTTTCCGCCGATATAACAATCAAGCTATTGAGATTTGTTATATAGTACAAACCGCTCAATGTAAGTGTGCTGTATGTATGCGGGATTCTGATCATTCACAGAAACATTACACACAACCATGTGTTGTCACTCACCATCTTCACTTTGTGTAGCATCCAGATGCACATGTGCGTGAGAGTGGGCTCAGCTCGACTCAGATCTGACGCACTGACGGATGTTAACATGTGGCAGAACACACCCGATCAGAACAAAAACAGTAGGCAAGGCTAACTCTTAAACTCTAAATCCGTATTCTAGACAGGAACCACTGTAGTAGTGTATCCCTCACCTCACAGATCGGCCCTTCTGCAGCTGAGTCCACACGCCATTGGGCCCCCGATAGTCTGGGATGGATGCGGCCTGACGAGAACACAAACCTACACAATTAACACAGAGATGGACAACATATCTAATATTTACAACCATTTACATCTCAAAACTGAAGACGTAGACGTACTCTCCAGCCACAGCTGTCAATCACCACTGCAAATTAACGCACATACGTCACTTTTCGTGACGTTGGTTCAACTTTGCTTTTTGAACCAGAAGAACGAAATTAATCCCAAAAAATGAAAAAATAACCACTTTACCCTTAATAATAGAAATAATTAGTGCTATTGTTGTTATCACTGATGTGCAACCTGTTCATATGTGTTAACACCTCAAAAAATGTGTTTTAGGGTTTCATGACACTTCAATATTGTTTTGTTGGTAATACTAAAATGAGCAATGGTTTTAATGCACTCTATCTAGCCACTGCGTTTATGAGACAGACGCACCGTGCTGATTCCCGCTCCGGTGTAGATGACCACATGCTTGGCCTGCTGCAGCGCCTCCGCTAGCTGCTTCACTTTAGCCTTCAGGCTCTCAGCATCATCAAACACCTGCAACCATCACAACCACATTTATATCATATGTTTTATTTTGTGAAATCTTACTACGTATATGGAATAACCGTTTTATAAAAGCAATAATCCCCGTGAAGCCGTGGTTTACAGTGAATTTATAACAGCTAAGGGGGATGTTAGGCACGACGCGAAGTGCTTATTGGGGCTTATTGCTTCAACAAAATGCCAGATTTATCATTTATCACTGGATGTAGTGTGTGTCTGGGAATGTATTCATGCTACACCTGAATGAAGGACAGCTTTTATTAACGGATGAGAAATTCAAATGCATGTTTAAGTATCTGTATCAGGGTTTCTGCAGGTTTTATGTAACTCTAAGTAAATTTAAGACCAAGTAAAGCAAATTAAAGGAATAAATTGAAGGGAACCCATTATGTCAACTACATCTAAGTGTAAATCTTTAGGGAGCACACAATAAGTTGTATTAGAAACCCTTTAAAGTTGGAAAATATTAATTCATTTTCCATAAACAGATAGATGACAGATAGATAATAATGTTCTTCAATCTTCATCAGTATTTTTGACTTGTTTTCAAGTGCAAATGTCCAAAGATTCAAGATTAAGACACTTATAAGTCTTGTTTTCTGTGAAATTCAATCAAAATGAAGTGTGTTCATGATTAAAACAAGAACAAACATCTGTCAATGGGCTCAGACTATTAAACTATAGATGCAAACTCCTCACCTTTCGGTGACAACTCACTTTGAGATTTGCTTCGATCCAATGAGA